GGTACTTAATATGTCTAATGCTGTTCATTATTATTTCTAAGTTTCCCTAAAGGCAATCACCCTGGTATTCGAGTAATGATCAAACTTAAACAAAATTATGAAAGTTGCGTGGTCTTTGGCGACTACTGTACATATTTTGATTAAATAAGCTGTCAGCTCAAGCAGGATTTCCTTAGCAACAACTAGGGTATCCCCAAGATGTCCCAGTTGATTGCTAAGGAAATCCTGCTTGACTAGGCAGCTAAATTTATCAGAATGTGCAGTATGCGGTACGAGTAAATGACGGCTTCCAATGGAGCCTCGTATTTCAAGTAGTTGGATTGCTGGTACTAATTGATCCTTTTCCTTGTTGACTTGAGTTCGATTCCCATCGAAGCTGTCATGGTTTTCACCACTGGGCCAGAATTAGGTAAAATTGCTATTTGGCAGGCCTCACCGAATATCCTATGTCCCACCTTGATTTCAATCTATAACGAACGGCATTTAATCTACGATTACCTCGGTGTGTATGCGGATTTATTTACAGCCTACAATAGGCAGCTTACTATGTTAGCTTGTTATACTTTCAGGAGTCTGTCACGAAAACCATACGAACTCAAAGCACATGCCAGTGTTATGTCTCGACTGCGCCAAATTCACTCAAAATGTTCAAGAAAGAAATCCTTTGAGATATTCCGTTGCCTAAGCCGTACATGTGTTTGTAAGGCAATCACATCTCGTGCATGTAACGGTTTCAGCCTTTAGGCTTGCCGCCTTCCATTAAGAACAGCCACAGACCGAAATAAATATTGACCTTTTTTACCATGGTTACACTTACTTCTGTCAGAACTCACGAGATACCAAAATTACAGAGCGAGTTTGCCTCATTTTCAAGTTTTGATCAAAGCTTACGTAACTAGGACCACAACCAAGGTATGAATAACTTTGCCGGGTTATCCAAGAGCTTTCTTTCATATTTTTTGAATGAAATAGTAAGACAGGATATGATCGAGAGATCGCTGAGGGAGGAGGGCGAGTCACAAACCAGGACGGTACTGGCAAATGATCATTTTCCCTCCATCAAAGTTAGGAACAACAAGGCAGGCAGTAGACAGCAAGAAAGAACAAAATTTGCCTGCAAAACGCCGACTATAACCGTAGGGGTGTTTTTTCGAAGGATGCTTTTTTCAGAGATAACGGCAGATTTGTTTTTAACCGAAAGAACCATTTGGATACTCGTTGATGAACGTTTACCTGACCGCTAACGGAAATCATCCGTCCTGCTCTGCCCTGGACCTCGACAGAGGCCCCGACAGTCGTAACAACTGATACTATAGACAGATAGTATTGCCGGCAAAGACAAGGGAAGCTGCAATGGCAAAAATCACCTGATTGACTTTCTTATGAGACAACGCAACTAACCTTCGCCATAGCAAACAGCGATTTCAGGTAATACGTGGTAATTTATTAGGCATGACGTTTGACTATGTATGCAAAAGTATGCATGCTTTACCCGACTCAACAACAAAAAGAGGGTCACTTGGAAAAGCGCTTGCGCTTAACAATTTATCACATTCTATCACATTGAACACGTTGGTAATTGATGACTGACTATAATGTCAAAGTGGCTATCAAGGCTAAAGTATCTTTCCGGAGATACATTCCTTACTGCAAAATTCCATACTTCAAGACCAGCTGCTCATTTGGGCTGAGTTAATATTTATGCAGTTTCCTACTGTTTATCTATTATCTTACTTCTTGCGCTTCACGGTTGACCTAACAGCGTCTCGGCAGTAACCTATCGCTATTGATTGGTTTACTCTAGAGTATTACCGATAAAAGCCCTTGGGAGCCTTTAGTTGTCAGAGTAACAATGGCTGACGCAAGTAAATATCATAAAATGGGGGAGTTTATGGTTTTTGTTCGCTGTGGGGGCGGATCGCCTGGCTTGCCAACCCAGCTACTCTTAAAGCCCTTATTTCAAATGTGCATTCACACTAGTGGACAGCGAGAACCAGCTGTCGCCTCTCAGTCTAATTTCCCAGGCGGATTGCTGAAAGCTAAATTGGCTACGCTTACCGCACACAAGCACAGCTGGTTGTTCAGTTCTAAGGAGGAAAAAAGAGGGACTAGGATGGATTACTTACGACGGGAAGGTTTCTATGTTAAGGACAAGCCACCGGATAATGGAGGGCAAAAGCGCACACATGATGTTCAGCTTTTTAATGTCCTGAGAAACTAATTTTTGTTCGCGGTATACATCAGTATATTTAAGGTCTATAGGCGTAGACCGAAACGGTAGGTGTATATTTAGGTTGAAACCCGTCAACTACTGCGAAATATGCAGTTGCTGCCAACGGCCGGGCTTTAGTAGTATACATTCATGTTGTAATTTACCATACTAACAGCCTAGGTACTAGCTAAAAGGCCCAGACACG